AAATGACCTAATTTTCTAGCACAGATCAGGCTTCAGTAGGGGCAGGTGTGAGTGTCCCTTAGCTTACACAGAGCCTAGCCTACCCCACATCGTCAAAAATCATGAGTCCGACACCCCACCCCCAAAAATCATGACTGACATAAAAATGAGATTTTAAACAAATTTTGGGTGCCCCCTTTTTTTGGCCTTAAAGTGGCCCATGGGCACAGCCAGACCTGCTGCATGCAATACAGGCCTTGCATACACCAACACCATGTCAATGGGAGTTAGGTGCCTACATACCTTTTTTTTTTTAAAAAGTGGGTCTTACCCTCTCAGTTTTCCCTGCTTTAGCAGTGGGGCACAATTCGCCAGCAGCATTGCAAGGACAAAAACTTGCTACAATACATGGTAATGGGGACTTATAAGTACTTATGAGTGTCAAAATATAGTATTGATTTAACTAAAGTTACACTGGCACAACTGGTGTGTAGACAAGCCCTTAGATGCCAAAATAGAAACATTTTTGAAAATGGGACACCCCTCCCCCCCATGAGATATACATTAATTTCACTTTTGGGTATATTTAAGGCCAGCTGGGGAAGCACACAAACAGATTTTTCTTTTTGATTAAAACATAGGTTACCTTTAGCTCAGAGTACAAGAGAGCTCATTAAGAGGATAAAAATTGTTATGTTGATTCCAATTGGTGGGGCAGATGGGCCTGCCTCTGAACTTTGTCCTGCCAGCTTTGTTTTTATGTAAGTCAGAGCTGCCTGAAGCCATGTGACTTGGCTGGACTGGAATCTGGGAGGGTTTGGGGTTACTAGTAGCTGGGTGAAGTGGGACTTTATAGACTTATTTTTAAGAAGTGCAGATTTATACCACTCATGTTCCAGCAGGTGAAATGATGAAGTTACATCTCATGGGTCAGAGGTGTAGTATAATCAGCCTTTTTTCTAAAGTCTGTTATGCACAGAGTCCCTGTGCTGTAAACTCTGGAGGGCAGTGACTGCTGGAACCGAACAGTTGAGTTCTGCTACTTTGTTCCACAAGATGTTGCAAATTCAACCCAGTGTCTGAGAAAGCCCTTTCCCCAGAGACTGGGGAAATGGAGCAGGGCCCAGGTTACTGATGTGGGCAAAAGCCACCAAGCTCCCTTTACAAAAAAAACACAAGCTTTTGCATTATTGTTTGTTTCATCTGTGGGACTATTGTGGTGGAAGCTTTGGAAAGGTCAGGCAATTTCCTCAGCTCAAAAGAGGAAGTCTGGGCAGAAGAGCTTATTCAGAAAAGTAAATCCACCCACCCCTCATGACTGTAGCAAGAGGCATGTGAACATGGAGAACCTAGGAATAAATCAGCCTCAGTTCCCTCGGCAAACAGCAAGTCCGAGAGGAGTAAACATCACACATGATTCAGAGAAGTTGGCTGATATATTGGCCTTATAGAAGAAGCAGATTGCTCAAGAGCCCAGTAGACAGGACATAAAACATTAGCAAACAATGAGGAATGAAATAAACATTTCTGCTACAACCACATAGGAGTCTGAATGTGAGCGCCCCATCTCATTTCCCTAGACATCTGCTAATTCTGCCCACTAAGCACCTGGGGCAGTTAGAAGGGAATAAGGGCTTGTCTACACTTACATTTTATAGCGCTCTAACTTGCTGGCTCAGGGAGGTGAAAAGTCACCCCCCTGAGCGCAGCAAGTCTGAGCACTTTAAAGCACCAGTATAGACAGGCTCCGAGTGCTGGGGCTCAGAGCTAATCCCCTTGTGGAGGTGGATTACCAGGAGCACTGGGAGAGCTCTCTCCAGCACGACCACATTTGCACTTCAAAGCGCTGCCGTGGGAGCGTTCCCACAGCACTTTGAAGTTTCCAGCATAGACATACCCTAAAACTCCCACAGGGGCTCTAATCCAGTTAAATATAGCACCTTGTAGAAGGTGCATCACTTCTCCTAAAAAGCAACAGAGGGTCCTGTGGCACCTTTAAGACTAACAGAAGTATTGGGACCATAAGCTTTCGTGGGTAAGAACCTCACTTCTTGCATCTGAAGAAGTGAGGTTCTTACCCATGAAAGCTTATGCTCCCAATACTTCGGTTAGTCTTAAAGGTGCCACAGGACCCTCTGTTGCTTTTTACAGATTCAGACTAACACGGCTACCCCTCTGATACTTGACACTTCTCCTAGTGAGCAGTCTTGCTGTAACCCCTGGGCCAGGCAGTTTTGCAGCCTTCCCTTACCATATGTTATGGAGTGGCTGTGTTTAAGCAGCCTCACACTGTTATAGAACAGGCAATGAGGTTCTAAGAGGCTGACTAGGTGCACTGGATCCTGAAGGCAACAGTAGCTCTAAGGTTCTTGGAGTTGCACCAGTTTAATTTCTATGTGTAGATAAACCCTTAGTTAATCTGGAATAAGGTAAAGTGTGAATTTAAAGTGAATTAAAGTGCTCGTTCTGGAATAAGAGCATCCACACATGGAGTTAATCAGGAGCAGCTATTCAGGAATAACTCCTCATGTAGACAAGCTCTAGAAGTGTGGTTTTAAACCTATTCAATTAGCTGGGCAGTAGACTTGCAGGCATTAAACCCAAATAACCAGTTTTAAACCAATGTGCATCTCCACACAACAGTTTGCATGGATTTAACTAGATTACACACAAATTTGAATCAGGTAAGGCCTAAGTGCCAGGTATTGTTTATGTTAAAACACACCACAACAAGAAGTTTTAGAAAGTACCAGTTTATTTGATCAAGTACCAGTGGGAAAAAACCCAAACAAAAACAAAAAAGCACAATTACATGAGAGAATCTCTTTCTCACACAAAAAAAAGAAAAAAAAAAAAAGACAATTCATGCTTCACAGGTGGCGCTGTCTTTAGACAAGAGTTGCAAATAGGTTACTTCCATAACAGCAGAATGAAAAAAATAATAATAAAGTTTCCACATATTCATTCATTCCAGAGCTAGGCCCTGGGACAGGCTTGTCTTTGAATTGAAAGGAACCTATTTAAAAATAAAAGGGGCAACTCCTGCTAGAGACTTTGTTGCAGGGGTTCTCAAGCTACAGGATCAAGCCTTAGCAGGGAGTCCACAGAGAGGAGACCCCTTGCCCCATAGCTATAGAACATAGAAGAAATCCACTTGTGCTCTCCTTTACACCACTAGAATCAGGTGCAACTGCACTGATTCCAGTTAAATTATACAGGTGCAGAACTACAAATGGAAAGAGAATCAGGTCTAAGGTCTACAAAAAGACAGATTCTCCAGGGCCTTCAGAACCAGCATGATTTCAAGCAGTCTTGTGCAAGCGGACATCAGACCACTATGGGCTATGTTGTATGCAGTTGCCCCCACTCTCCCCCCACACAAAAAGCCACCCTACAGTCAGCTATGTTGTAATCTTCATTGTTATCTGGAAAGGCAGCGACTCAGATCTAGCAAATAAGACTGATGCAACAGGACCAAGATAAGTGGGTGTTTTATACACCAATTCTGGAACTAGCCAAAGACTGCCAGAAAACCCTGTAGTGAGTAGAAGATGCATGCCTGTCCTAAAAATGTTTTGTGGAACTGGACCAACTCTGACAGAGGTAGGATCTGCTTAAAATGATACACTAGAACATCTTTAAAAAAAAAAGTTAACTGCAAATGGCTTGAGGAAGTCAGTGTTCCCAGAGAGCCACCTTAGCAGGAGACACGATCAAACAATAGTCTAAATACTGAAAGCCATCCTTCTGAAGGGAAAAGGGAATAAAGGAGACTAGTTCAAACTCTTAAAAATAGCTTAGCCTATAAACTGAACAGCAATTTTGCAAGAGAAAAGGTAAAGGTTACTTCCTTTGCACAGTGAGCTTCCAACTTTTGTTTGCATCCCGTCCCATAAATTAGAAGTGTCACTTTGAAATGAGGGGCAAGGGATCTCCGCTCCACCACCTGGCTATGAAGGAGCAAGGCTGACATTTTCAAACACAGCAACTGTTTCTAATTCATGGAAGTTAATCTGATGGCCACTGCATTCAGGGCACGCAGAATGTTAGTGACCTGGCTAGTTCAGCAACCATTAGCCTGACCCCCAGCTGTTTATGAACAAAAACACAAGGAAAATATTACTGCATTCAACATAAACAAGACATTGCACAAAGAGCAGCATATAAACTAGACCAATACGCCCTCCCTTACACATAGTAAGGCTGCACAAGCCCAAAAACCTCTAGCCTTTTTATTCTTAACATTCGTACACTTTGCTGGAAAAATATATATATATAATATATAGCTCTATAGGACTGATTACAATATATTACAGGCTAAAAAATTCCCCACCTTTCCCTACAATATACTTTAATCATGTTTTAAGAATCCAATTTTGCATACAGAGTAATTCTTGCAGAAGTTATTGCCTTCAGTTTATAATTAAAAAATTCACAGAATAAAGCTTAAATAGTTTTGACAATCATAAGAGATTCATTATATTAGTGTTTTATATATAAAAATGAAAAAAAACATAAGAACCATAAATAATCCTATAAAAATCAAATCCAAAAATTATGGAAAATCCCCATAAATATCGATTGCATACAGTAGCTGCTATATAGAAAGAGAAACCTGTAACATACTGTAGTCAATGCTGCTTCAGTTCAGAATATGAATTGTATAAAACACAATATATACATCTAGGGCTAGTCTACACTTACCGGTTAGTTCGACGGCTGCGGATCGAAGTTCCGAGTTCGATTTATCGCGTCTGGTCTGGACGCGATAAATCGAACCAGGAAGTGATCCCCATCGACTGCGGTACTCCAGCTCAGCGAGAGGAGTACCGCGAAGTCGACGGGGAGCCTGCCTGCCGCGTGTGGACCGCGTCTGAACCGCGGTAAGGTCGAAGTAAGGTATGTCGAATTCAGCTACGTGAATTTGCGTACCTTACTTCGATTTGGGGGGGTAAGTGTAGACCAGCCCTTAGAGAAATGCCCAGCCAAAGGAAACTAAAAGGATTAAAAAAAGTCTTAGGAATTTTTTTTTTTTAAACTAGATTTTTTTTAAATTTCAGAACCGTTTCTACAAAACAAAACATTAGGCTATTTTTCCTACTAAAATTTTTTTATAAAATCCTACATTAAAAGGTAATATTTCTCCACCTGTAAGAGACTTGGTACAGGGAAAGGTTAGTCTCAGAGAGTCAAGCAAGCCAAGAGGCTTTCCTGATTTTTGCGGATTGTGACCCTACCAAGGGCCAAAAAGGAAGAGGAAACTTCTCCCTAAGAGCCATTTAGGCCACAAAGTTATTTCTCCCAAGGGCACAGCTGCTCCCAGATAAGGCAATAGTACAGTGTAGTGTAAGAGATTCATAGATATTCTCTATAAAATGCTTTACATGTGGTGGTCCTGCAGCAGGCCAAATACTACAGGGGAAATAGAATAAAAAACCTTCTACAAAACAAGGCAAATTGGAGAGATGCACACCAGATGCAAACACACACAATTGGCTTCCATATAAGCTGCATTATATACACCCTCCACTCAACCAAAAATACGGAATTTGGCAATCTTTTGCTCTCCTCCCCTTGCCCCCCCAATATAGCCATGACAAGGTTTCTCTCCCCCCCGACGCTTTGCATTTTGTTGTGCCCTTGTTAGTTTAGCAGGATGGAAGGGTCGCACAGAAATATTTTTTTAAAAATCACTTTGAAATTAGATCCAAGAAAGCATTGATTTGGAGCATCTCAGCTGAGGTCCAAATGCTTTAACAGTCAGTTTTTCTCCCCAGAGGGGCACAAGGTGCTGGTGGCTTTAAGCGTAGAATTCGTTTGTAGGGGCTTTCTTGTAGATTGGTTTTTTGCCAAGATCATAACTCCCCTCATCCTTTTTCTTCATGCGATAAACCAACAGGAGGATCAGGAAGACAGCAAACAGCAGCCCCACTGCCCCACCTGCAATAAGAGCTGGAAGAGAGTATGGAATGAATATAGCATTTAGGAGGAAACTGCTACCCTGTGAGAAGCTGCCTCATAAACCCATGAAATCTATCCCAGAGTTCCAGCATTTTGGAGCTTTCTACTGGCAGCTTCCATCTTGCTGAAAGTGACATTTTCAGTCCAAATGGCATCTAGAGACTAGAAGTCACTTTCCACCCAGTTTATCCATAATTAAAAACCAGAGTTTAATAAAAAAAGGTTTCTTCTGATTAAAGCAGGACAGAAGCTTCCCGAATACTCAGTGCCTCCCAGCTTACTAGAACAAAGCCAGTTGGGTTGTGTGCTTTTGGTCAGCATTCTTGCCCTCTAAAGTAGTGGAACAATCAAACCCCATTTTTGGCATCCCCATTTCCCCTTCCTCCCACATTTACAGTGTGGCTAATGAGTCAATAGACTTCGGGGACAGTGACGTTACCTGCAAGAACTTCTGTTCTCTCAAAGAGGCTGCTGTTGGCTGTGCTGGCCATGGAAATCTTGTTGGACGGGTTCAGTTCCTCAGGGGGCAAGACTTTACGTGGAGTTAGTTCATTCTCTACCACCAGGTTTTCATCCACATCCTTTGTCCCCTTACCAGTATCTTCAGGGATATAGTTGTCACTCGAGAGCTGAATAAAGCAGAGACAAACCACACCCTGTCATGAGCAGCTACAAAACACTTCAAAACAGGAGAGACAGGAGGGGCAGGGCAGACACCATTTAATGGCAGGACAGGTGAGGTCATTTAAGAGTTCAGTGCATTGTGAGCACCTTATTCCAGTGGACTGGACGTGGAAGCCAGCTGCTGTGGGGGGCGTGGGAGGAAGAGGAGGAGTGGGTTAAGGCGACAAGAGCCTTTCACAGGCAGGCAGGCCGGCCAGATACCACACAGAGGGGCTGTTGGGCTAGGTTTTTCTGAGAGTGCTCAAACAACAACACCTACCATAGGACTCTCTTCAGTGGTTGAAGTCATGTCATCTTCAGCATCTAGATAACATGCAAACAATACAGAATTAGTTTCCCTTTGCTTTCAGAGTGTTTTCCCAAAGCCCAGGCACACACTATAGCAGCACTAGCTGCTATTGTCTAACTAGGGCTCTACTTTGATTAAAGTTCCCTCTTATCTGTAAGTACTTTCACCAGTTAAATATAATTTGGATTACACAAAGCCACATGATGCACGCTCAAGATTACCTCATTCAGAGAAGAAATCTTCAGCTCCATCAAGTGGCTCTTGCTGCAGGGTACCAGGATTTGCTCAGAAAGCGAATATGCTCTTGTGTGCTAGGCTGGCTTCAGGAGGGCACTCTTTTGAACACCCATCCCTAAGGTACTAACCATCAGATCTGCCTGAACATGCCAGGTACTAATTTCAGAGCTTGTTCTTTACCTTTTGAGAACACAATGTGCACATAAAAAGGGCAACAAGGAGCTGTTTAAACTAGTTTATGCTAGGAGTTTTGAAAGCCATAAAGAGGTCTCTGAAAACACTGACTTAACTAGCTTTCACTACTACACTGGTTTTAGGGGCAAAGTGGGAAGATTCAGAAATGTTGGGGCTGGAGGAAGATTTGATTTAACAAAACTATTTAAACTTTACAGGCCCTTAATATTAAGAGGGGGAAAGGATTTAAGTAATGCATTGTCTACCCATTGAAGATAGCATGTAATCTCATTACAGGGGTGACTTACTTGGATGCCCCTATAGAGAGGGAAGACAGAAGGAGTCCCACATCATGGCACGGTGCCCTTTTGCTGTTCCTATCAGTGTACTGCACCCAAGCAAGCCTCCATATGGGAGGTATTTGATTAGGCTGCTCTGTTGATCCCTCTCAATGACTTGCTAAGCTTAGCTTTACAGACTGTGTAGCCCATTGCAAGTCCCATTAGAGCAGGGGTTCCCAAACGGGGGGTCAGGACCCCTCAGGGGGTCATGAAATTATATGGGGGGGGGGTCACAAGCGGTCAACCTCCACCCCAAACCCTGCTTTACCTCCAGCATTTATAATGGTGTTAACTATACAAAAAAGTGTTTTTAATTATAAGGGGGGGGTCACACTCAGGCTTGCTATGTGAAAGGGGTCACCAGTAAAAAAGTTTGAGAGCCACTGAATTAGAGAGCCTGTGAGACTCAGGGGACTATGTAGCTTTTCCAGGTCAGAGCTATGAAGATGCAATAGTCAGAGGAAGGCTATTTCTTGCCTACATACCATCATCATCTCCAGAACCAGAAAACCAGTCACTCTCTTCGGTCAAGTCAGGCCTGAGGTCACTGATATCTTCATCATCTGGCAAGGCTCCAAAAGAGAAATAGTCCTCTCCATACCTCTCTGGGTCCATGGTCTCAGTTTCTCTCACCTGAGAAGGGAAAACCAGCATTAGACATTATGCAGAAACCCAGACAGTTCTCAGGCTGCCAGCAGCCATCTGCAACCACATCAGTTGAGCCAGCACAGTAATATTTCACCATTTAACTGGTGAAGTTCAATTCAGCCCAGCTAAAAGCACCACCTTTACTAGCTTGAAAACAGCTGAATTCCCCTAGTTCTCTGAGAGCAGGAACAAAGATCAGCCAGGGTGGGGATTTCCAGAAAGACTGTGTTCAGAAGGTTCCCATGAAGTGACCAGAGTCGGAATTTACTGAAAACAGCTTTCTGGGCAAGAGCTCATGGCAAAACCCCTTGAGGTAGCAGGGAGGAATAAGTTCAGTGTGACAGGCAGGAGAGTAGTAGTGGGACTTATACCTAGAGAATCTTTTCCAAGCCTGTGTCAAGAGCTAAATTGGGTTCTCCCTGTAGCATTAAAACCCCAAAGCCAGTATGTTTAATAGCATCATTATTTCATTTACAATTCAGATACTTTATCGTACAAAGGTTAAAACGGAGATTTGTTTGCTCCCCCCATCTGTATATTCTGGGGAACAATACGACAAGATCAAAAGCATTACAAACAGGAACTCATTTGTATAAAGTGTCCCCTCAACAACACACAATTCAAAAAGCAAATCGCTCAGCAGTTCCTATCTGAAACTAAAACCATGATACTGGGATCTGACTAACAGTCAGAGATATGTGCATTAGCGTGGCAGCAGCAGCACATTGAAGCCAGTCTGCAGGGCATACAATGGAGCCCAACCAAAAAATTGGATGTTAAACTGTCTGACAATGGTTTAAATCGGAACCCATTTTTGCTTGGGCCTCTGAAGATTAGGGGGTGAAGGTAGAAGATTTAGACCAAGATTATACAAGTTCCCATAACTATTCTGTATAACTCTAGTGACCCTTTAGGGCCAGTCCAGGCGAGGATTCCATAACTCTGAGATCATGGACTGTCCACACTTCCAAACTGGCAGAATCCAGCGTTTGCTGTGGAATTCCAGCAGCAATTCACAATTCCACAGCCATTAAGTCATTTGCTTGTTAAGGAATTTAACCCTTTCCTTACAGTTGGAAGTACAATGCAAACTGAACAGACAGCTGCTGCCACCACCACTCGTTTCACTAGCCTTATTTTGCTAATGATTCCCATTGCTATCACCAGTTCTGCTCCACTAGTGATAGAAATACTGGGAGCACTAGTGTGGCTGGGGGCACCTGGCCACCTGTTACAAGCATGGAGATGCAGGGTTAAATGGAGAGGGGGGAAGTGGAGACTGGGGGGTGGGGAGGGGAACACAAAATGTTGGTTCTCCACCAAAGCAGCTCACCCTCCCTTCCTCCAGATGGAATGCTGCCTTATCTGGTAGCTACTGGAACCATTTCATCATCGGTGTTAAGTACTCTCAGTGCTTCAAGGCAGAGTGGGGTGGGGGGGGTCAGAAAGCAGCCTGTCTGCTGCCTTGCCCCAGGCATGGTCCCACTGCAATAAGAGACCTGTGGCATGGCTGCAGCTAGCCCTGCTCAACTTGTGGGGCACAGGCTGCAGAGCTAAAAACTGTAGTATAGGTATATCCATAAAAGCTTTATTACAGTGCCAGATACAAGTGGTCTTTTCCCCTCACACCAACAATCCACTTCCACATCTGTAGATATTGGGGTTGCCCCAGCCACCAGGCTCTGCAGTCAGGGTATGAGAAGCTTCTCCTCATATCCTGAATTCCAGGGGCTAGAACAGTGATGCAATAGCTTTTCAGGCAGCTCTGGTTCATTCCACCTCTTCAGAGTCAAAAGGGACCAGAACGCTCAACTGAGCATCCTGAAAAACCAAGAAGAGTCTGATGCTGCCAGACTCCTCATCTCCCATTATGCCCCAACTAAGACTGCTAGAAATACAGCCTGGAACAAACATTCCCAGCATCACTGGTCATTTATAGGACAACTTTTATGCCAACCTTAGTTAGAAAGGAGGCATCTGAAGCTAGCCAAGATACCAGGGCTCCCTAAAATGGTACTTCAGCACAGGCCACAGCTGGAATGATGAAGCTGCTTCTCATCCCAGACTGCGGATGTTTTATTAAGATACAGAAAGGGTTTGATTCCCATTGGCCACTATTCAGTAAGTCAGGGTGTCCCCCCCAGATAATAGCTTTCATGTAGTACAATGGCAATAGGTGGAGGAGGTTTTCCCTTGCAGAGCAGACAAATATTGGCAGGTGTGCTAGGTTACATCTTTGTGTCAGCTCACCCGGACTGTACTCACAACTGGTGAATCACAGCCATCAGGCAGACAGAAAGCAAACACCTAACAAGGGAGGCTCAAGAGATAACTAGGCTGGATCAGAGAGTCTGAAGCGACTGAGTAACCTGCCTTATTAGATCAAAACAACAATGAGTAAGAATGGTAGACATTTGCTATTAGTGGGTACTTTGGAATACACCAGGTTCAGATATCACAGGAGCTTATTCATCAAAATACACACTGTCTGCGTGTACAAGTGAGTGAGGTCCAATATTAACGAAGTTACTGACTCACAGCAGTCAATAAGATTCTATGGAGTGTTTTATGCCGTTGCTCATTTGGCCCTGGGCCCAGGAGAATGCAAGTGGGAAGCTCACGCTCCAGCTACAGTAACTTCCTGGAAAACATCCAGACAGCTACACTGGGGGAGGTGAGCAGTAGCAGAGGGACCTACACTTCTACACATTTACCCATAGAAGATTAATTGAGTATTCTTAGGGGCTTGGAGTTGAGATTATTTGAGGTCCTGGGGTGCTGTTGGGCATCTCACTTCCTTCCTGCGTGGGTAAATGTGGTGAAGTTCATTCCATGTTTCTCCCTACACAAACTCAAAACATACCCACAACAAGGAGGCACCTCCCTGGAGCTAGGTGCAAATCCCACCTTGCAGAGGACTCTGAATGGAAAGAGTTAACAGTGAAGTGTCTGTGCTCTTTGCAGGGTGGATCTGGAACAGTGACATTCCTCACATACACACCTGCAAAGGGCACACAGGAGCAGTTCAGAGAGAGACCCCAGTGGGGTTTGTGGGCTCAGGGAGAGGCTTAGTGCAATGTTACTGTTTCTTTTAACATTGTCTAATAGGGACATTGCATTTCTAAAGCTGGAGGAAAGTCTCCCTGTTTTTGGGAATTTGCAGCCCATGGGGGTACAGAGTTAATAACCCAGTGGTTCTCAATCTGTGGCCCATATGACATCCTCAGGGCCATATGGGTAGTACTGGATGCAGCACACAACACATTGGTAAATAGGTTGAGAACCACTTCCCCTTTTCAAAAGCATCTGGCACTTGCCGAATGTCCTCCACAGCCACATTCGGCCTAACACTTTCCGCAGTCACTAGCTGGAGGCTGGCATCTGATCGAAATGGCTTGCGGCCAGTTGTTCTGTCACCTGCTATTACTGTGCTGGAACGAAGTTCAGCCACCCTTATGATGAGAATGACTAAATGACTGCACAGCCTCACCTACTTCTGGCAGCTGAAGTCAAGCCTTACTGCTAATATGCTTTAGCAAATAGAATCCTTTAACTACAGAAGGATGTTGCTTCTGCCAAAGTCCAGTTCCAGGATTTCTTCTGGATGTTAAGCAGCTTTTACCCACAGTGACGTGAGTGCCAAGTAAGATTAACAAACATCATTGGGGGAGGGGAACAGAAGGAAGGAGAAAGGGCAGGAGCTTTCCCTGCCTAGCAAAAAGAGGTTTACTTCTTAGCTGCCAGCCAGAGCGTGTGCAGGTATGCACGCACTCTGCCTTTCCCTTCACATGCTGCTTCAGTAGGATCCACGCAGGGGAAGTTAATGTTTAGGTACTACAAGGATTAGCACACTAGACGTGCCAAGATGCACAGGAGGCCCCTACCTCTGCATGGATCATTCATGTAGAAGAAGCCTAAGGCTTCAGGCTGGGGAGCTGGCAGGGCTGTGATACCTGATCCCCTCTCCGGATGAGGAGTCCAATTTCAGAGTGGCTTTGGCTTGATTTCAGAAACCCAGATCAGCACTAGCTGCTTCTCACAGTGAAGTCTGCTCACACTGCAGCCCACAAAATTCCCATCTAACATGTAACTTTCCTCCACCACTGACTAGTTCTGAGAAGGAAAAAACAGTCAACTCTAACCAAGCCTGCCTCCTCCAGCCCACACACCACTGCCATAGCTTACGTGCCCTTTCACAGGAGCAGAAAATGAGTAACATTCTCTAGGGCAAGGGCATGAAATGCACATGATCAACTTTTAGCGCTGGCCATTGTCTCTGATCAAACACACCAATGTTTGAATTCACTCCATGCTTCTTTGAAGGCTGGTAGACAGTGAGTTGGATGGGGGTTGCACATGCAGAGTCCCAGGCATCTGAAGTGCAGGGAGCGCTTTACAGCGTTTCCAACAACCCAGATAATGGAGCCCTATAACTTGCTTCAGCGTCTCTGTTTCCCAGCACTGTGTACACAAGCCCAGGAGTAAACAGGAGTGAGTTGAAAGTCAAAAGAACATGGACAAAAGAACATGGACCTGGGCCAAATTTGAGAGGGCGGGAAGTGACAAGAGAGGCAAATCAGCACTTAGTTAACTATTTGCACCCTGCAAAGTCAGGTATGGGGAGTGGTCTGATGGCTCCTTTGCAGATAATCATGTTGACTGATAAAATTAACAATAGAATTCTTTTACTAACACCTAGGAAATCAAGAACTGATTTTCATCAGATTGCTCAACAGAATGTGTGTCTCACACATACACATTCATTCATATGACCACTGGAAAGTGACTCCAACCCAGACAAGTCCTGCTGCAAGTCCCCCCCTGCTCCTCACCCAGTGAATTTGAGTCATACAGGATCAGACTAGGGATCCATCTGGTCCAGTATCCTGGTCTGACAGAGGAAGATGGGAGACGTTCCATACTGGAAAAATCATGGACTAGCCTGCCCAGATGGGAAGTTTCTTCCTAATCTTGTCAGTAGTTGA